AGGAAGACCCAGGACACGCTGGAGGGACTATGTCTCTCAGCTGGCCTGGGAACGCCTTGGAGTTCCCCCAGAGAAGTGGCTGGGGAGAGGGAGGTCTGGGCCTCCCTTCTGAAGCTGCTGCCCCTGCGTCCCGACCCCGGATGGATGGAAGAAAATGGATGGATGGTTGGATGGATATACAGTATATAATTCCGCTCTCGGAGCGGTAAGACACTATTTCCTTCTCTCCTGCCCTTCCTTATCTTCTCTGCTTTGCTGCTTGGAGCCTTCTCTACYTTTTCATCCGAAACCAGAAAATATGGATATTTTTATTTTTATGGATTTGGTTAGCTGGTCTCTTAATACATTTTTGGAACAAAGTTTTTTCTTTCATGGGAGTACATGTCAAAGGTGGGACCTCTGTTCTGCTCTGTTCTGGATAAAGTCTATTCTACAAAACAGCGTCAGTGACTATTCATTTCCTGGCTGCCTGATCAATATGAAGGATTGCCGTTCTATCAGCACTTGGACTTTTGCCTTGAGCAAGCTGGACTCGGTCTGCAAGCGGTTCTGCTGAGGGTCGCAGGCCGGCTGTGGTCCCTGGACTTTGCTGGCCAGATGGAATTGATCTTGGAGAAAGTTGATAGCTCGGCTTTGCAGAATTCGTCCACACTATTTGTCTGATTGGATTAGCTGCACTGAGTTGTACCAGCGGACATGAAGACAGATGGAAAATTGTTATTGTCTGCCTGGCTCTAAACATTCTCTTCTGTTCCCAAACAACTGATTACAGAATTTTTCTCTCCCCTACATGGCCTTGATCTGTTGGACTAAAATCTTCCTGGATAGTTACGTCGACTGAGGGTCTGCCCCACACCTCCCCCAACTCACACCCGTCTGTGATCTGGTTCCTGGAGCAAGCTGAGGACATCATAGAATGAACAGTTAACATCCATATTCTGGACTATGGCTGCGCGGGTTTTGGGGACTCGATTCTTCGGGGCTCATTTTTCAGATGTTCACACAAGTGCATACAATAATCATCTTCAGATACCCCCCCCCGTAAAGTCACTTACTCCTCTGGCTAATAAATGTGCTCTATGCGGAGGTTTTTTTTTTAATAACCATAGTGTGTCACATTGTTGATATAATCTGATGGTTTTTTCCCCTCATCTTCCCTTGTGTGGTTTTTAGCTTTTTCTTTTAAGGGTCGTGTCTCCTCATGATGTCTTCATGAAGATGATCCTTGCTCTGTGCAGAGTAAGGTGGCTGCATGACCCAGAGCACCTGTTCTCCTATGTTTGTTATGTTCTGTTGTCTACTGAATGGGTGTTCTGAACTGTAATTTCATTGTGCTCTGTACAGTGACAATTAAGATATATCTATTCTAATCTAATCTAATTTACCATCATCAAGATAACAGCCTGTGCAATAGGCATAACGCAACAAACTGATAAACTTCAATACAAGGTTGGTTCAAATGTTTACATTTCTGCGTTTTGTCAGCATCAGTATGATGAACAAAATGGACTTGAGAAACCACATCATATCAGAACCACTTGGTGAGTGGAAAAAATGTTGGGCCTCTGCAATTAGATTTTGCTTCATTAACTTTTATTTAAAAATCTTTAACTTATTGTCGTATTTTTATTATTTATGATAGTAAGGAGTGTTTTTCAGTATTCAGAATATAAAAAAAGTTTAGTGAGGGCAATGTTTTAAAAGTCACTAAGAAATTCTGTTGTCTAGTTGCACTTTTTTAAGCCTTCATTTAGTCATCTTGGATTACTTTTGATCAGAATCAACAGGACTGCACTGCAAAGAGAGAATCTGCAGTTGGATTTAGGTTTAACTTTTGTTAAAATTGTTGTTAACTAATTTTCAGATGTTTTTATTAGTTATGATAGTAAGGAGCATTTTTCAGTATTCAGAATATCAGAAAATGGTTTATGGGGCAATGTTTACAAATCATTTAGAAAGTGTATTGCAAGCATTTTTTTCATTGCTAATACAGCAGCTGGGTCTAGCGTCACTAGACTCTAGTTTCATGTTGGAATGGAAATGATGTTTTAGTTGTTTTTAGTTTGTTTTTTGAACAAACTAAAAACAGAGCAGAAAGACACCAACACTATATATTTCATGTATTTGTTCATTTATCACAAGTCATATCATCATGGCATTATTAAGCTCTGTTATCACACATTGCAGATTTTCCTGATATCATGCTGCCCTAATTCCATCCCACCTCTCCGTTGGCTGAGGGCAGTTGTCCAGGAAGTCCAATATCTTGAAGAACTAGTATATCTGTCACGATGGTATTAAAAGCTGAGCTGTAGTCTATAAAACCTCTCACATATGAAGCTTTCCTGGCACAGGGCTGTCTGTAGAGCTGTAAGAAGTATGGGCTGGTATGAGATTCGGACTCTATGATAATATACTGAACAAAATACCACTGCTTTATAAACACCAATTTTCCACAGTTTCACTTGCTTTTATTTAAAAACAAAAATGCAAATAGAGTTACCACTGCTGTCTGAATAATTTCACATCTTGCCCAGGTAGAATAGTGCACTGCACAAGTGAACACTTTTTAAAATCACTGGCTGTTTTTCCTGCACTAAGAACAAATTTAAAACAAGCTTTTTATTTGCAACATTTTTATTTACATTGATATTTAAGACCAAGGCTCAATTTTTTTATTTAATTACAGTTATTGATGTCAATTTTTAATGTAACACCAGAAAGTGTAAAGGCTGTTTTTAAAATAGTGATTTCTTTTGAACAGATTGTAGAAGATATTGCGGACATAATTCACCATAAGTAGTTTATTTACTTATTTATTTATTTAAAAGTGTTTCTCTTGAGTTCTTCCATTGTGAATCTTAACCTCTTCTCTCTTCTCGTCAAAACAGGATGAGTACCCAGCCAGAGGGGAAATACAAGTCTCATCTCATGACCTCCAACTGGTGCTACAAGTACAACGCAATCAGTAAGGATTCTGTCTAATGTCTCCAAATTCTTACTAACCTCCTCTGTCTTCAATTTAATAACAGCGAGAAATAATTGGGAGAAAGAGGACAGAGGAAAGGATAAAAGGGAAGAAAACAGCAATCAGACACCTCGACTGATCTTTCTAGATTTGACTTTTTCTGCACAAAACTTCCACTTAATGCTTAATGCTCTATAAATCACTGATGTTCATCAAACAAGCTATTTGATAATGATGGACAGTCTCATCGTTTCTATCAGCGTCATCTGGAGATTTTCATATTTCCCTCAAGGTAGATAAAAATCCCATTATTCTGCATTCCAGCTCATGGATTTACTGGATTCTTTGTGATAGGAAGCGGGAACGTGTAATTGAGTCAGCTCAGACACAAAGTGAAGCAGGGCTAATCAGAAACGCAGCCTGAGCTGTATGGAGATCATGCAGAACAAGGCTCAAGGCCAGTAGAGGTTATGATGGTCCTGTGATAACATCAAGGGGAGCTCCGTCTGCTGTGTGCTCATCTGCCGCAAACGTGCAGAGACTCCCGAAGCGAGCCGCTTTACATGCTTATAAAGCCTGGAGGTGGAGAGAACAAACTTCTTTTTATCCTTCATCAGAGCAGGGATCTGACATCACAAATGGAGAATGCACATGAGGGTTCTCTTTAAGATGTTCTCTTGTAATTACTTGTTGAGATGCACTTGTTAAATGGAGAGTGCAGGCTGGGGTTTAGGGCTGTGTTTCAATCTTATATGTTCAGTTTGATTAAAACCAATAAGAATGGTTTGCGCTTATCATCTCCTTTCGAATAAGATTAATCTGTGTTTGCAGGCCTGGAAATTCAAGGCACCCAAGTATGGAGGTAATTTTGTGTTTTTTTATTATTCAATCAAACAAAAAAACAGTTTCAATCAAAAAAAGTAAAACAAAAATCAATCAAAATATGTTTTTTTTTCAACTAAAATCAACTGTTCTCTGTGGTGTAATAAGAATTTCCTGAAAATTTTAAATAAATATGATAGCCACAGTGGTTCTTGGATGTTTTCTTTCTTTTCTGGACAACAGAAGAGGACACAGGAGGGCAGAGGAGGCTAACCTCTGTTGCAGGGCTCCTTTGTCTGTAAAATATGAAAATAAATAYACTTAATTCACCTCAGATTTTGATGAAACTTTCAGGGAAATTCTATCGCTTAGAGCTACAGCTGACAGAAATTTGAGCCAAATCGCATGGCCGGTTTAATAGTTGGATTTTGATATCTAGTGGACCTATATTGCCCTCTCACATGAACGTTACAGGAAATGTTTAACACACCACAGAGGTCAGCTAATGATTGAAACATGTCTGAGCAGGCCCAGAAAATTCAGCTGTCTGTTAGCAACTGTTAACAATTTCTGGGGCAACTACTGGCTACAGCCTGTATCTCCCTGCCGCAGATCGAGTGCTTCACCCAGACAAAGGACAATGCCAGTGAGCTGGGCCAGCTGCTTAGGCTTTGCTTCCCAGGGAAGAGCCAAAACCACTGTGCCTGAATAAATATTATCAGGCATTCAAATGATTGAAAAGTGCCTTCCAACCTACTAGGAGGTAGAGAAGGGACAGTTTGGATACAATGTATGGCACTGATAACCGCTAATAACGGCCATTTAATGTACTGAGAACATTGAAAGCAGATGCAAGAGAAAATTGTTTCAGTCTACATTAACCAATAGGAACACATCTTACAGTAGTTCCTCTTAGGCCTCGCCACAGATGTTCATGTTCTCTGAGGTTAAACTTTTTTGAGTTCAACCACAAAACTTGGGCATCAACCAAAGATTTCAGATTCAACCAAAGATTTCTGATGTGAAAAAAGTTTCTGTTTTGCAAAAAAATGTTTCTATTTAGTTATTTTAATTGAAATTGCTTTTTGTTTGGTTGAAATATATATATTTTGATAATTTTTTGATTGAAATTTTTTTTAATGAAATTAATTTTTTGATTGAAACAGCTTTTTGTTTGATTGAATAAAAAGAACACAAAGTTACCTCCATACCCGAGCACTGTTTGTGGTTTTCTCTGCTGTAAAAGATTTACTAAGCTTCTGCATGACTGGAGCCAAACAAATGACATGAAACAGAGTTAAACTAAACAGCACTGATTCATTAATCAGGCCAGGTATTAGCATACAAATTAATCACTTCTTTGATTCCCCTTCTTTCATCTCTTCTACGTTAATATAGCTGCTGTGCTGGCACTCACATGACCCGGCACTGATGTGACTGTAAACACTGAAGCATGCACTGAGCCAGCCATTCTAAGTCTGGACTCTGTTCTGAATCTGGACCAAACAACAAATCCATCTGGACCCAGCTCGCTTGTTATATTGCACTGATATGATGTCATGAAGAGTGGTGTGGCTCCTTTAGGAACAGGTCTATGTTGACATACAGTATAGGTATGAGTTGCTACCTTTCAGATTAGTTGGTGCCTCAAACTTGTGAGAAAATTGGCAAAAAAATTCCCATTGCAGTGTCACTGAATTATGAGTATTTTGCAACCAGTGAGCTGTGCAGCAGCGCTTTGCATGGAGAGTTTTGTATATCATTGCTTACAGTTGTGTGAACAGTATTCTAGCTCATGCATACGATTTTATTGACTCCCTCAGTTTGCTTTGTATGCACCATGGCAGCAGCTGAAGCATACTGCAGCTTCATCCTCTGTTGGCGTCAATGTGAGAAACTAAGGCAGCGAATACAAAGAAATTATGTCAACAACTAGAGAGTTATCTAAATGTGGGAAGAAAAAAATAGATTTAGAAATTCAAGTCTTCAAAGATCAATCGAAAGAGGACTTCAGCTTTTATTTGTCTTAATCACTTACTTGATCAGTGTGAGCACATTTTCATCGAAAAATGTGGTAAAAATGCTCCCAGCAATTTTTGAACTCGTAAGACATACAACCCCTGGCAAAAAGTATGGAATCACCAGTCTTGGATGAGCACTCATTCAGACATTTCATTCTGTAAAACAAGCTCAGATCAAAAACATGATACAATAATAAGGTCATTCCAAATAGACTCAGGCCCATAGACTCAGACTCATAGACTCAGGCCCATAGACTCAGATTCATAGACTTTGGCCTATAGAATCAGGACCATAGACTCAGGCTCATAGACTCAGGTATAGATTCAGGACCATAGACTCAGGACCATAGACTCAGGCTCATAGACTCAGGTATAGATTCAGGACCATAGACTCAGGACCATAGACTCAGGCTCATAGACTCAGGCTCATAGACTCAGGCTCATAGACTCAGGCTCATAGACTCAGACTCTTAGACTCAGGCCCATAGACTCAGGACCATAGACTCAGGGTCATAGACTCAGGCCCATAGACTCAGGCTCATAGACTCGGGCTCATAGACTCAGGCCCATAGACTCAGGACCATAGACTCAGGTATAGATTCAGGACCATAGACTCAGGACCATAGACTCAGGCTCATAGACGCAGGCTCATAGACTCAGTCTCATAAAGCCAGGCCATAGACTCAGAACCATAGACTCAGGACTATAGACTCAGGCCCATAAACTCAGGCCCAAAGACTCAGGACCATAGACTCAGGACCATAGACTCAGGCCATTGACTCAGGCCATAGACTCAGGACCATAGACTCAGGACCATAGACTCAGGCTCATAGACTCAGGCCCATAGACTCAGGACCATAGACTCAGGCCCATAGACTCAGGCCCATAGACTCAGGCTCATAGACTCAGGCTCATTGACTCAGGACCATAGATGCAGGCTCATAGACTCAGGGCCATAAACTCAGGCCCAAAGACTCAGGACCATAGACTCAGGACCATAGACTCAGGCCATAGACTCAGGACCATAGACTAAGGCCCATAGACTCAGGCTCATAGACTCAGGACCGTAGAATCAGGACCATAGAGTCAGGCTCATAGACTCAGGCTCATAGACTCAGGCCCTGGACCACAGACTCTGGACCATAGACTCAGGCTCATAGACTCAGGACCATAGACTCAGGCTCATGGACTCGACCCTTAGACTAAAATAAGTACAAACTATGCAGACCCACATTGATTTTGTTGCCCAGAATGATCATACAGCAGTTATCTCTTTCTCTTTTTATTTCTGTTTTTTCTTTGTATCATTCATCACTGTTCATGTGCTTCATCATTGTCTCTGGGCTTCTTGTTTTTCTGTCAGTCAGTCCAAATGTCTGTGTCAGTTCATCCATTTGTCCACTCTTACTCCATCATCAATCTGTTTCCAAGCAACTGAACTCTTATGCATCCATTAGCTGTACTGCCTTTGAGTGAAACACTGAAATGTACCCTAATATAGAACTCAGTGAAGCATCACAAACTCACTCATCCCTTCTGATGTCACACACTTACACCTCCTGCAACATACTGTTCCTTTAAGTTACTACAAACTGTTCCCATCTGAATAGAACAACGATGCCTAAACATGACAAACACTGTGATTTCAGCAGGTTGTTGTGAAGGAAAATGCTTCTTTTGTAAAATCCAACAATCATTTCTGGATATAATTGCTTGGCAACAAAAGACAAAAGTGAGGAGTGATCAAGGTTATGACTGACCAATCACACAACAGTTGTTGGATACCACCTGAGGAAAAAGTTCTGCCAGATTGTTGTGTTTTACAACCACAGTCAAACTCTGCTCCTGTGCCAGATTGTTATGCTTTACAACCACAGTCAAGCTCTGCTCCTGTTCCTCCTCCTCCTCCTCCTCCTCACAGTTTCTCAGCAGCTCCACCCTCTCAGTAATCAGCTCATTGTACTCACTTGCTCCATGCTGTTTTTAACTCGGTCACTATCCACAGTTCCTTGCCAATAGAAAATGGTACTCCACAAGGTTGTATAATAAGTCCATTGTTATTTTCAATTATGATTAATGATGTATTTAAAGAAATAGAGAATGAAATGGGTTGCTCTCTTTTTGCTGATGATGGGGCTATATTGAAGCGTGGGAAAA